CTAATGGCCATCTGCTCATCGTCCCTCCCCTCATTTTATCATCCCATAACTACAAAGAAATACACCAGGCACCTATTCATACAGGTATGAACGTTCTATCAGAAAAGAGGCCCTTTGAACCCCATGCAACAGCACTGGGAGCACTGACGCCGAAAGCGCCGGTGCCCATCGAACCCATGTGTTCTAGTCCATGACAACCTGCGGTAATTGCGCCGTAGTTAGCAGTCTCTGAGTGTGCTCACAGGCATGCCAGCCCACATCATTACTTGACTTCATCCATCAAGAGGACACCAATCATCACTTGTGTCAACATCGCTCCAATACCTTTGAGTTTAAGTATCAATCCCCCCCCCCCCCCCCCCCCGCCCCCAAACTCCCCCCCCCACACACTCAAAAGAAAAGGGGTTACTGATAAGCTCACCTTTGATGATTTGCCTGTGGACTACGAAGCTTTCGAACCGCAGCAGAAGAGAAGCTCCACTGCCTAAAGCACCCTGCTCCCCAGCACAAACTCGCTTGAGGCCACCTATGTTTGCCGCTGAAGTCTAGACAAGACAACCTCTATGTACAAGTTACCGTCATACCCTGAAACTGATATGCGACACCAGAATCACAACTGCCCAGTCGCCATGCCCAAGGCCGCATGTGCTCCGAGGCAGACAATATGCATTCACGTATCGGCTCATTGAGGACATCCTATCCTGGAAGAAATCTCCACTCCTACCTGCTCGGAATGGACGGGTCATGTCGGGGCAAGAATCTCAATTCGGCCAGACGGCTCACTTCGCATTGGCGTGTCTGGTAAGGCTGAGGCTTGGACATTCCCTGTCATACACTATCCCAGTGCTTCCTCCAATGCCCCAGCTCATCAGCCCGCAGGTGTGCTAACGGGACAGCTAATGAGGTTCAAGCATATTTGTAACAATACTATCGTATCCAAAGCGCCAGTGACTTCCTTGACACGACCTTATGATTGTTAGGGGCCATCCCCGCAGTGTCCTGGCCGGAGGTTGGACTGCTTATGTGCATGGCCGGCAGCGTCGGATGTCCACTCATGTCGCCCGGCTTACAAACTGGTTTCACCGCATGCTGCGCTGGTCACTTGCCCTCCCACTACCGAATGCCAATTCTGAGCACAGGCAGCATCAGCTCTCCACACCGACACGCAGCAGGGCCCTGCCCACTGCCAAATGCCATTTCTGAGCACAGGAAGCAGCAGCCCTCCACACAGCCGCACGCAGTGGGCCCTCCTTCCCTGGTTATTACTACCAGAACAGCAGCTGCTAATGTGGATTCTGCAATCCGGCTGAAAACCCGGCCAGCTGTAGCAGACAACATAAATGTTGCCACAAGTGGCTGCAAGGGATGATAGTCTGCATCCTACCATTGCAGCTGCTGCTGAAAGTTTGCCTCCAACACCACCACCAGTGCCACCAGGCACTTCCATCATCCTCTCAGTCAACCGCTTCGTCTTCTTTGTCGCCGTCCTCCTCCTCCTTTTCCTCACATTCCTCCCCCTTGTCATTGTCCTCGTCATCAACACATTCATGATCAGATTGGCCATCACGGATGCCTCTTCGGCAGGCACGTTCCCCATCTCCCCTGCCATCTCCCAGACAACGGCCTCGTTTGTACATGAACAGTATGATCACCGTACCCCCGGTTGGAGGCAAAGGTCTACTCCGGTGCCATGCGGCCGTGCGGAACAACGTCGTCACTCCCAATACACACGAGCCTGGAATAGTACATACTGAGTCCAACAACTGGCCTAGCTCAGTTGGTGCACCCCTGAACTGTTGAAATACAAACCTGAGTTTGAACTCCACTTCCGTGATGATATCTCAAGGCCGTTGCCCTTTTTTTTCCCCACAAGAATGTACACACCAAGTCTGCAGTCCACAATGTGGCAATGATTTTTACGGTGCTGCAGGCCTGCCTATGCACCAGACGCGAGGTGCAGCCACCTGTGTAGCATTTGCACAATTAGCCGCCACTCTTGAGTACATGTGCATCTGATCAGCTTCCGCTTCTTGCTCCCCACTTGAACTGACAATCATCCACCTTCTGGAGATGCTAGAGCCAATGGAGTTAATATAGCCAGAGGAGCCTGACAGAGACCGTCAAGACCGTAATGAACCTCCCCTGCCGTGCAATCTACGGAATCAAATGATGTGCTACAGGGAGGCCACTGTGAGTACTATGTCGTTGATGTGTCCCTCCTTGCTCTACAGTTGCAGGCCCTTTACTGTTTCTGATTTTGCAGACGTTGTCCGTTGGATAGAAGAGGAGCGTGTTGTTGTTTGCCCAGAGGATCACAGTACTGTGGTTGGTGTGAACATAGAAGTACTGTCTATGACATTTATGGGACGATGACTGCATCTCCTGCCTTCTCCACATGCAATTCCATCTCCTACCGAAACTCGGTGTGAAATATGACTATCACCGAGTAGCGCAATCCCACTCACTCTGGCTGGTCAATCAGGAACGGTATGTGGATGTGCACTTGCAGGCTCTACAACCTCCGTGGAACAATCCGGCCGATCCTTGCCCCTCCGCTGAACAATGCAGGAAGCGTCCCTTGGCTGTGTAGATTGGACGGATTCTGCCGCGGCTGTTGACTGCGCCATGCCATTGTGTTCCCGCACAGGTACAGTTCGGTTAGCATGCACACTACACAATCTCTGCTTCAAACACTATGAAGGGATGGTCACTGCCAGCCTCTGCCACGAAAACTGTGACCTGTTGCCTTGCACTCATCCTTCTCCCGGCCCCTGCTTATTGCGTGCCTGATATGCCGTTGTAACCTTGACATGCCGTGCTTGAATAACTGTGAATATCAGGCTGCCCTCCTGCTGGCATGTCAGCAACTTGCCATGTGTCGTCAATGTTTCCAGGAAGCTGTCATGAAAAGTATGTGTCTGTACTGCGTGGACTATCCCCAGTGCCATCACCCACCACATTCTCTCCGTTGATGTCCCACATGCAATGTTCGCATCCTCCGGCTGCTCCCGTAATTTTAACTCCTCCATCCTTGCCAGATGAGCAACGGACGCAGCAGCCTGAGGTGAGAATAGATCCTCACACGAACCACCTACAGTGCACCATACTGAAAGGTTGTCACTGCCGGTGCGAGATGTTGCAGACCAGATCTCGCAACAGCTAGACACCCTTACTTTCTGGATCAGACCCTGTTATTGCCGACATCATAACCTGAGTGCGAATCCACATACATAACCTCCTGATGAGTCAGCGAAAGTCCAACAGAACGGTCTGGTACAGTCATGCTTTTTTTTCTGGAGTTGTGTATAGCGAACAGGACAACACATGCGTACACATACACACAGGCTTCTCTTTTGGAGCACATGGAAGAAATGGGGGCTTCTAGGGTGTCTTAAGCAGTAGTGCTCATGGTGTCGCCTGGAGATCTTGAGGAGTTTGGGATTATGGTACTCTATACACTCTAGGGGTTAGACAGCGAACTGAAAAAGGGTGGTTGTCTAGCCATGGAGTGATAGAGATGATGGTGACATGAATGGGTCGTTCGGGATGAATAGCACGTGTCAGTGTTGTTGTACTTGTGCAATTAATCTTGTGGCTTTGTGGACCATCTCAGAGGGCTCTCCGAGTTTTTTCAGACCATTGGCGGATATGGTTAGTGCTTTCTTCTTTGTGGAGCCTTCTGTGTTGAGTATGTTGCCGTTTGCCCTCGATCCTTTTATGGGCTATATGTGACCATATTTATATATATTATATACGCATAGAATGTGCAAGTGTGCCGCTTCAATGGGAGACAGGTGTGTGGGCACTTGGCGCTTCACCACACAAACATGGTCAACCTTGCATCTTCTACTATATTGCCTATTTAATATTTGTTTGTTTCATGGATGGTTTGTGATAATTTGTGGATGGAATGAGAGAGAGAGAGAGAGAGAGAGAGAGAGAGAGAGAGAGAGAGAGAGAGAGAGAGAGAGAGAGAGAGAGAGAGAGAGAGTTTTTTTTTGAAACACACACACACACACACACACACACACACAGAGGCATAGATTCTCACGTGAACCACCTGCAGTGCACCATACTGAAAGTGTATTGGCTCCAGGGCGAGCTGTTGCAGACCAGATATTGCGACAGCTAACACCCTTACTTTGGATAAGACACTGTTATGGACTGCCCATACAGAAGGAGTACTGGCTGCAGAAACCCAAGAAACTTGCTCAATGCTGCACTGCAATGGACCTAAGATTCAGCTAGCATGTGATTTGCATGCGTTGTGTCGTGAGGATTATCAACTTAATATTAAGCAATATCCGCCTATCGTTCCATGCACGTCTTTGTTTTCATACATATGATGACAGTCAACCTTAGGCTTTGGAGGAATATATTTTTTGGTTCTTCAATTTAGCTTTGGATGGACTGGTTGTTTAAAGTTGTCGAGCCCCGGCGGGGGTTCAGGGGTGCAGGGGTGGGCACCCCCGGCCCCGGCTCTGGAACCTCCCCCCCCCAAAATAAATAAATAAATAAATAATAATAATAGTAATGGGGGGCCGGGGGTGCGGGGCGGGGCTGGGGGTGCCGGTGTTGGGTCAGGGGCGGGGGTCTTTTGGCAGGTGCAGGGGTCGGGGATCCCCGATCCCCGATCCCAGCGGCGGAGGTCCGGGGGTGAAACCCCTACCCCGGCTTGGGCCCCGGGGATCCCTGTGTGACAACCCTGGTTTAAACTGTCATGAAAAATGATGCCACGGTCACACATCTTCAACTATCTCTTCATTTCCTACTGCAAATAACAGGTAAAATATGTCAGCTTTTGCTACTTCCCCTTCCCTGTTCCTCTACTTTTTTGATGGACACCCTCTACAAAGTTTCATTTTTTTGTGCATCGATTCTCTGTGCAAATTGTTACTGGTCCTTTGTGAATCCATACATCCTTGAGACAACTCCCTCCTCCAAGGCTCACTTGTTAATCCCCTGGTCCACCTTGTTCTTTTTACTATTTTTCCTTGCAGATAGCAACTTGGAGAGCAAGAACTTCATGTCTAAAACAGCCTGTGACACTTTTGACTCCAAGTTTGATATTGGAAATAGCGTCCCACACCTGTGACAAGGCCCTTTGTCAGCTAATCCACCTGCTAGGGGGAGCAGATCCCAGGTAACCTGGAAAATTCATAATTCTGAAAAGATATATGTGGTGTAGCAACTTTTGGCTGGGATAGTATCCTCTTTTTTTTTTTTTTTTAACCTTGGCTGCTCCTTTTCTGGGGAGCGTCAGTCCGTTTCCTTTTCCACCTGCAAGTCAAGAATATAGATATAACACGCCAATACTCTACCCCACGTTACGGCCCGGGGAACCCTGACGGTGTTCCTGAGAGAAGGATTGACTGCCAGCCAAGCCCATATGATTATTCCAACCCCTCCCTGTAGCAGTTATACCCTCCCAAACAAACATACTTAAAAGCAAGTCCGCAAGTGCCATCCTCTATTGGCACATGAGCAGCTCCGCTTAAACCCTAAACCCCAGCTTCTCTACCTGGAGCCTGAAAATGATTCGTCTGAAGAGCCCTGCTGCATCCCTTGGCCAACTCCTCCTGCGGTACGCACATGAACTCAGGCAGTAGCTAAGCTGATGCCGGAGGCCTGAGATAAAGCTGAGCGCTGAAGGAACAGCTGCAAACGAGTTATTTGTTGAGTACCTTGAGTTCATAAAAATAAAGAACTGGCTTCCCCCCCCCCCCCCCCNTCCCCCCTCCCTTCCTTTAATCTTATAGGCTTTCTTTCGTCCATTCAACATTTTCGGTGCACAGCACCACTTCCTCCCTCGCGGGGGGGGCAGACCTCCCATGCTTGTCTTGTTGGTGTCTTGCCGTAGCATGTTTTTCACTTGCTGTCGTAATGTCTGAAGCCAGCTCCCCTAAGTTGATGTGAAATCCTGTTTGTTTGTGTTCTGGGAATTTGCAGTGAAATATCCTTCACTGCGGATAAAGACCGACTGTTCTAAGCTACCAAGGTATGTATCCGACAGCACAAAAGTCGTCGATGTATTCAAAGCAAGGCCAGGCAAGACGTCATAACAGCAAAACTTAGACATCGTAAAAGTCACGAGTCGCTGTGAAAGGCCAGTCAGACATCGCAGATTACTTAGTACCCTCGTGATTGGCGAGCATGGAAGAGTCAACGGTTAATCTGTGGTATGATTTGGCAGCATCGATCAAAGGATAAATGGACATGAACAGTGGTTATTTGGATCTGCTCCCACGCCCCCTTTTGCTAAAACACTTATGCATGTGGGTGGGTCTTCTGCGCACTCGGCAGTAAGGCCCTCAACTGCTGAGTCGTCACAAGGGGCAAGCTAGAAAGAGGAAAGGATCCTTGGCTGTGTGCAGGCCAGGGGTTGTGCCGCTGCCGTTCCTGCTAAAGCAAAAATGGTAAGCAGGCTTGCCCACTCGTTGTGTGCCACTGACAGCCGATCCTTGGCTGCGAGTGGTGCAAACACTGTGATTTTGGGTGAGGCCAATGATCTCCGGCGGAGCTGCAGTGGTGTGTTGGCAACTACCAGTGGAGTAGTACCCTTTTGTGGCACACAGTGTCCAGCTCAGCATGGGCGCTTGCAGGGTGCCGCACCATTTTGGCATGCTGCTGCATTGCATTCTGCTCGGTGTCCCCTATCGGTTTTTGCATCTTGGAAGTCAAGGTGCGCATTCTCATCATGTCGCAGTGGTTGCTCAGCCTTATCGCTCCCTCCGCTGCCCAGCAGTCTGCTTTCGGTTGGTCATGTTGCTGGAAATGCAGTCAGAAGTAAGCGTGGTGGTGGTGGTGGTGGGGCAAACTTAGGAAGACGGTGCAGTAGTAGTAGCAGCAGCAGCAGCAGCAGCAGCAATGGCGATAGAGCGAGCTCAGATGACGGCGATTGTGCACGAGGTGATGATCTTGTTGAACTGCCACTCTTTCCACTGCCTCTGGTTCTGTTCCCCGATGCTGTACTTCCTTTGCAGATCTTTGAGTACAGATATCGCATAATGATGCACACGTTGCTGGAAACGGAACTGAGGTTCGGGGTCATCTATTCAGGCAAAGAAAGTGGCAATGCTGCCCCAATAGGGTGTGTCGGGGAGATCGTCAAGCATGAACGGCTAGCAGACGATAGATTCTTCCTAATCTGTCGCGGTCAGCAGAGGTTCAAAGTGGTGGACATTGTCCGTACAAAGCCGTATCTTGTTGGTAAAGTGGCTTGGCTTGAAGATGTGCCTACGGACCAGCCAGAGGATCTTGAAGCTCTGGCTGCTGATGTTGAGTCCTTGATGAAGGACGTTATCCGCCTGTCAAATAAGATAAGTGGTAAGCCTGACAAGGAGGTTCCTGAGGATCTTCGCAAGAAGACATTCCCCACACCCTTCTCCTTTTGGGTTGCGTCCACATTTGAGGGTGCGCCTGTCGAACAGCAAAGCTTGCTGGAGCTAGAGGACACAGCAGAGCGTCTGAAACGTGAGCGAGACACCTTGCGTAATACCTTGAATTACTTGTCTGCTGCGACGGCTGTAAAGGATGTTTTCTCCTCCTCGTCATCGAGCAGTGACTAGTGCCAAGGAGGACGATCTCTCTCCAAGCTATCACTAACAGTTCAACTGACAAGCTCATTGGTTAATTATCGTAGTATAATGACCTGATCATGAACACCATTCCCTGATCTCCTCCTTCAGAAGCATGCTGTGTCATTCGTGATCTGTTTTCTCACCTGCTTATCAATTCCTGTTGTATAGTATCGAAATTTCTCGCTCGCTCCATCAGACACCTCCTCTCATGCGAGCTCTCGCTCAATCACTCAACCTTTATGTTTCTATCTCCTCCCCAGGGAGGAACGCTTGCAGAATACCTCCATCATCATGCATGATTAGTCCATGCTCTCTCAGGGACTCCTTGCCCCCCTGGAAAAGCATTTGATCCCGCTAAGCGGTGGGTGCACAATGCTCTATGTTCCATCATTTCCAACAGTTTTGGTTCTTTCACATCTTCCGCGCTTCTCTGTTCTTGCTTCTTCTGATCAATTAAGTCGGAAAGGACCAATTTCTGGAGCATCCGAAAAATGTAGAGGGAAAAAGAAAAAGAAGGGTCTCCAGAAGAAAGAGCATATCATGTCCGGTTGGGACAGATTAAGACCAGCTGTCCTTCTAGATCAGGAATGCTGTCCTTCTAGATCAGGTATGTGTTCTTTGAGAACAACAAAATGACTGACTGGCTGCTGCACGCAGCCGTCTTGATCTGGGAGCACCCACTCCTATCTACTCACACATTGGCAAGCACTCTGTTGCCCTTCATCCATCCATGCTTAGAGTTAGCCATTCTGGCCAATCCTGGCCCTTTCTCCATTTTTGGAATGCACAGGTGCCAGCAAATTATCCATTTTGGGAATGCACAGGTACTGGCAAATGATCCATTTTTGGAATGCACAGGTGCCAGCAAATGATCCATTTTTGGAATGCACAGGTACCAGCAAATGATCCATGTTTGGAATGCACAGGTACCAGCAAATGATTCTTAGACACCAGTCTGCATTTTCGAGCGGTTGCAGTCTTTTAGTTCTAAGACACCAGTCTCTGGCGTATCCTACCATGCTGGAGATGGGGTGAGTCATGTATATATAGATATATATATTTGCAATGTGCCCCTCATGTTTGTTTTGTTTTTTTTAATATTTACGGTTTGTTTCACAAAGTGCGGTCTTTTAGTTCATAGTTATGTGACAATATTCTGTTTGACGATATATATATATATATATTATATTTTCAGCCGTCTGATGAGTCGGTGAAACTCTGACGAAACAGTCTGTCACAGCCCCTCGTTTGTTGTCCTCTTCTCCCTCTCTGCCTACGGTGTACCGGGCAGTTCTGTTTGACGATTTATATAGGTATACATATGGACCTGTTGATCTCTGGTTGAGCGATATGTTGAAACTTCAAGGAAGGAATTGTTGCTATGTACAGATTGGGTTTCGCAATATGGAACTCGACACAATCTCTCTCTCTCTCTCTCTCTCTCTCTCTCTCTCTCTCTCTCTCTCTCTCTCTCTCTCTCTCTCTNTTGCACGGACCTCTGCACTTCGAGCTCTTCTCTTCGCCGACAACTTGGTCACAATTGCACAGGCGTCTGAACTTCGGCTCCTGATCTTTACCATTAATGGCTGCGCAGACTTGGCAGGCTCGTTATCTGGAACAACTACCGGTAGCTCTGTTGTGACGGCCCCCTGGCGTGGACAATAAACAGTGGTCTTGACTCTGAAGGGCTCTGGATGCCAGTCGGAGCCATAAACGATGCTCTTCCGATGTTTTGGAGGCGGGGAACGAGGACGCTCTGCATCTAACTGTAAACCCTCACAATTTGCCTTCGGTTTCTCTCCCTCTCTACCGGCTAGTCCGATGCCTTTCCCCCACTGTTCGTGGTGGAGCTAAGTAGTTTGTTTACTCCCCTTTTTTCCTCCGAATCCTGTTGCTCCTCTCCAACTTCCCAGAGCTGGGACAGCTGCATGCTGATGGCTGGTTGGTTACCATTTGATCCCTCCTCCCTCCCTCCCGCCGACTGCTTCCTTTGTCTGTTGTACGTGTCTGGGACGTTGTGTGCCGTTCGTGCATCGTAGAACAATTGCTGGAGTGCTCTCCTCAAGTGTGTAGCTCAGAGCTGTCGTAGTTTGGCATCAGAGTGCATGATGATGTCGCCTTGATGATTTGTGAAGTGTATGTCCGCAGACGCAGTCCAATTTGGGGAACACATCCATCTTGCTGGATGGATTGATTGCTATGATCTGCTCGTCTATCTCTATCTCCAATGCTGAACTGTAGCAATATGCTAATGCATGAGCTTTGCTGTCCAGTTTTCTGGCGGGCAACGCCTTGTCGTTTTCGTCAGATTTCAAGCTCCTTTTGTTTGCTGCATGATACTTGTGCATGTTCTGTTCCCAACCCCCTACTCCTTGTTTCAACTTCTTTGTCTCTGACAAAGGGCTTTACGTGCAGCAATGAATCCAAATCGGTTGCTGGCATTGATTGGAAGATGTGCAACAGGTTGCGTGTTTGCGTTGTGTTCGTTTCATGTCGGGGGGGGGGGGGGGGGGGGGGGGGGGGGGGGGGGGGGCGTGTTGTTATTAATGGGTGGGTGGAAGAAAGGGGGGGGGGGGGGGGGGGGGGGGGGGGGGGGGGGGGGGGGGGGGGGGGGGGGGGGGGGGGGGGGGGGGGGGGGGGAGGGGGGAGAAAAAAAAGAAAAGGAAGATGTGCAACAGGGCAGTGTTCTAAGGATTTGCTTTGTTCTGCGGCTTGCGCTGTTTGCATGCTTGCATGCATTGTGGATGACATTGAGGACACGTTCAAGGAATCTACACCGCTTTTCTGATGATGCCTGGTCAAGCACGAGTCGTGTGCTGTGTATCGCACCAAGGGTGAGTCCAACTGACGCGTGGCTGGGCAGAGTGGGTGGTTTGATGGCTTCTTGAGCTGAATTTCTTTATGTAGATTAAGTGCTTACATTGCTTTTGTACTTCCCCCCATCATTCTGTTCGCAGTATTTCGCTAATTGCACAGTATTCTGGCCACTTTGTGTGGAACGGAGCTTGGCATGAATTTGCACTGCAGCCATATACACAGTAGCGCTGTCTGGCACAGGCACAGATGCAGTCGACGAGGAGTGCATCTTCCTTCCTTTCACAGTGCAGTTTTTTCCATAGAGGACATGTGTCCCCTTTTGGTGCAGGAATGCATGCTGTGCTGGTTACAAGGCAGGCCATACTCAGTGTGCCCCAGGGGAGTTGTGCTCCCTTCTCCTCGGTCAACCGCAGCAAGAATCCCATCCATCATCTGCCCAAGGGGAGTTAAAACAAGAATGAGAAAAATGAATGGTTTCAGTGTGTGCCCTTCATGTTGTTGTTGTTGTTGTTGTTATTGTTTTTGTTTTTGTTTTTGTTGTTGTTGTTGTTGTTGTTGTTGTTGTTGTTGTTGTTGTTGTTGTTGTTGTTAATACTGTTTGTTAAACTTTGTGTTTGTGAAGTGTGCTCTTTGAGTTACTTAGATATAGATATGTGACAATATATTGCAGGGGTTCGGACTCCTGAGTCTTGACTTTGCGATTTGTATTGGCTGTCACCGTGTCACGGCTTTTTGTGTGTGTCAGCGAGTGGTTGAGTTACTCTGATGAGAGGTCGGGTGAGCAGGAGCGCGCTGGTGGCTGTGTTGGAGCAGAACTGTGACAACTGTACACCACAGCTATGCCCAGGCTCCACACCTATGCACAGAACATGAACCAGGCACGCTATGTGGGCTGCCTAGACTGGGATGAAGAGGACACACTGGCAATGGACAAAAATAAACGAACAAATAATGAGAAGAAGTGAAGGAAGGAAGCAACGAGTGGAAATTGAGAAATAGACAAATGGACAACAACATGGACTTACGCTGCTTGCCCGTTTCATTCTTTGAAAGCACCTTGAAGGCTTGAACTGTTTTTTAAACCTTTTTTTTGGCCCCAAACAACAAGCCTCATCCATTCTGGGGGGCGGCAGTCCGGTTACTTATCCCCGGCAAGCATATGTAGAGTTCAAATCCGAGCCAGAGTTGGGATAGAGACCAACCTCTACCCCAGGATCCTTTAAAGGCTTAATCTGATTTTTATTTTTATTTTTCCAAAAAGCCTGCCATTTTTTATTAAAAAGTCAAAAAGCGAGGCCGGGGACTGCACAATTCTACCTGGAGCTATCCTGGCAGCACTAGCCAGTTTCGCTTTATAGCTCAATCCCGCACAGCATTTTTCCTTGAGCCTTTGGCTAGACAGCCTCTCCCTGTGCTTCCTATGTCCCTTCTGCTGCTCCTCTCCGCTGATCGAGCTGTCGGCTGTTCTTGAAGCTCTAGAGTCAGTGAGGCCCTCGAGGGTTGCAGCCTCGAATCTCAGTTGGCAAAAGCTTGAATCCCGAACGTAAGTCCACATCTACCTTGATACTATGCGTCTCAGCAGGAGCTCAGGCTAATGCTAGGCTCTTGTGTCGGGGCCGGCCCCAAGGCTGCTTCCATGGGTCCGTCAGTGAGTGTCCATACTAGCTTTGGTCTAACTCCTATGTAGCCCAGCTGTCCTGTGCCCAGTCTGTCCTTGGAGAGTTTGTCTAAGAACTCTTTTTTCTTTGCTGGGTCGTCCTCGATACTCTTCACTACCAGATTTCAGTCCGACTGATACTCGACCCGCAGGTTCTGCGTGACTGTCTCCCATGCTTCAGTCTGTGACACGGATTGCTCATCGATTGTTTCCTTACAACGCGGCTTCCAGATTGCGCAGAGTGTCAACGGGCGCAGTCTGTGGAAGAGAGTCATTTGCCACTTGTCTGGGAACCTCGGCTCTGCCAATCCTGTGAGGCGGTGGCACTGTGTTCGCAGTCGTCCACAGGGCGTCCGCCCTGGCCCATACCTGTAGTGCTTTCAGGCAATGCAAGAGACAGTGAGACAGGTCCTCCCGTCCACCGTCGTCACAGATTGCACAGAGGTCATCAAACTCCCGCCTGGCCGCCGCCCTGCGGCGTCTGTTGAGTCATTTGTTGACCGGGAGGGCGTGGTAGTAGATGAGCTATTGCATACTTCGAATGCGCGTGTTTCTCATAGCGAGAGGAATGTGCTGTGGGAGCAACGTGTGTCCTTGTAGGGTCCCAGGGAGGTGTTTCTCCCATCTCTGGATCAGAACGTCGTTAGTGCTGACCGCTCTCCTTCTGAGCCTGTAGACCAGGTGTGTGGTGTAGTCTAGGATGTTAGTTCTCCGCTCCGCGCGTGACGTTGTGCCTGCCGTCCTCCAGTGCCATTCCGCCGGGTCAAATTCCAAGTCCTGCAGCTGAGTCATTGGGCTATAGATTCTGTAAGAATCGTCTTCCACTTCTCGAACTTTCCAGAGAAGGGCTGGTTTAGCTGTGACGTGCGCACGTACTGTGTTATCAACCTGGCTGATGATCCTGCCAGGTTGGCTAATGTCATGCATGGTCCACAATGCCCAGTCTCGTGCCGGTCCTGTGGTTTTGACATACGCTAGCGTGACTGTGGGAGTTGCCTCCACCGCCCACGTGCCCCAGTCACCGAACTTCCATGACGGTGGTGCTTGCAGCAGGGTCAGGCACTCGAGTGGGATGGACTGCAGCAGGGGCTTCCAAGTTAGCTTGCAGGGTTGTGATGTCCTCTCTCAGCTCTGTGCACGTTTTCCAGCGGTTATGTTGCTTGTTCCAGAGGTGTCGGATTGGCCACACCCCCCTTTCCAGCCATGATATCCACCTGCCATCCGGAGAGGTTTAGCGTCCATGGTCTGTCCGACGAGTCTTTCAACCATTGATTGCAGAAGAGGGGCTGATGCAGCACCTCTTCTCTCACTTCTTCTCTGTTTGTCGGCTTCCTGACTTTGGCCAGGAAGATCTCTCTCCAAATCTTGACAAGATACTGCCAGTAGTCTGAGCGCGTCGTTACTAAGATGCTCTGCAAGATGGATAAATGGTCCACCATTTACACCTCGGTGTTCGGCAGGGCGTTGGTGCTCAATGCATCCATCTTCTCCATGCTCTGGTACGCGGCCACGATCTGGACACCGGAACAGAATATGACCGTCGTGCCCAGACGGCAGGCAGGCTTCGGCCTACCTCTGGACAGGGAACCCAACAAGACAAAACCTCATCCCAAAGGTGGCGTGGAATCACGTCGTACGGTCTAAAGGCAAAGGGGGACTGGGAATCCTCGACCCCACCTGCCAAATCAAAGCCCTCCAGACCAAGTGAGTGGTCAAACTCCTAACACACCAGGGATTACTATGGACTTCGCTGGGCCTGCACCGAATATGGCAACTACCCACCAGGGATTACCATGGACTTCGCTGGGCCTGCACTGAATACGGCAACTACCCAAAGCCTCCACGCCGGCCAACATGCAAGGCCTGTTCTGGGTGATGACCAAATCATGGTCGTTTCACAGGAACAGGCAGCCGCAAAGACAACAGCAACAGCAACACCAACACCAACAACCGGGAATACGCTCGGACTACTGGCAGTATCTCGTCAAGATTTGGAGAGAGAGTTGCTGTATTCGGTGCAGGCCCAGGGAAGTCCATGGTAATCCCTGGTGTGTTAGGAGTTTGACCACCCACTTGGTCTAGAGGCCTTTGATTTGGCAGGTGGGGTCGAGGATGCCCAGTCCCCTTTATAGACTGGACGACATGATTCCACGCCACCTTCGGGACAAAGTTTTGTCTTGTTGGCTTCCCTGTCCAGAGGTAGGCCGAAGCCCACCGCCTGAGGGTGACGTTCATATTTTGTTCCGGTGTCCAGATCGTGGCCGCGTGGAGAAGATGGATGCATTGAGCAGTGGTATGCCTGCCCTAACTTTCTTCTCATGCTAGCCTCTACCACCGCTCTCGCTGTCCACCTGTCACTCGCAGAGAGAGAACACTGCTGTGAAGTGATATGCAGACATGTGATCATAATCACTCTTTTTGTCTGTATCAGACTGTATGTATGTTGCTATTGATTTATGTATTCGAAGGATGGGTCATTTGGATGATGGTCGTTTATCTTCGAGCTGGCTCCTGCTGTTTTTGCATCACCACTCCAATGACATTCTTTGTGGTGGCGCGTCTGAAACCATACAGTCTAAACCTGGTAGTTTTCTGGCTTTGCACAGACTGTAGTAGTACAAGTACCAGGTAGCTGGTGGTGCAAGTAGAGTGCCATCTGGAAAAACTGTCAGCTTACGAATGTGGTCCCGAGGTCGGCCGTAAGGTCATCTATAGTTATCAAAGTGTGTGACCAAACTTTACAGTAGGGGCGTATGGCTTACCTTCAACTGGCAACAGTAGGGGAAACGAAGGGGCACGTTCACACTTCGTGTCCAGCATGTCTTTTTTTTTTTTTTTTGTGTGTGTGTAAGGTTTCGCAGACTGAGGTATAGGCAGGCCCTACCCTGACAGGTAGTGCTATAATCACACACCCACCACACCCAGGGCAGAGCGGGGCATTCCAAGGCGGT